CCAAGAGGAACAGATGGTCTCTCAGGAGAACAAGGTGAACAGGGTGCCAAGGTAATCATTGATTTTCTCATTTCATATGCAGTTAAGTTTTTTTGAGCCCATATATCCTGCCTGTCTAAAAACTAATACATTTCCTTACAACATTATGGTTCTAAATTTTCTAAATATTTCTAAGTCTAAATATAAAATATACGTAAAGGTTTTACTATACATACAGAAATCTTTTCTTTTTAATATTGAACTATATACTTGATATCTAATTTTTTGTGTGTGAGTGTATACATAGTCATGTATAAGACTATAACTCACATTCTTATTAATTTACCGGGTATTGATATTTTGTTAGGGTGAACAAGGAGATCAAGGAAAAAGAGGACCTCATGGTCTTACTGTAAGTAGTAAAACTTTTCATATGAAAGATAAAAATTTTAAATCTTATATTTTTCTGGGTATATGATTAACATTTGGGGAGAAAGCTACCTGACCCAAGCATTTTCTTTCTTATGTAGGGTAAAACTGGAAACGCTGGAGACAGAGGCATTCAAGGGAAACCAGTAAGTAATTAAAAATAAGCTATGAAGAAATTTTATCCACTTTATTCTCTGATACAACTATTGTTTAGTCTTCCATATATTAAACTAACAATACAAGTTCTTTTCCTTTTTCTGTCATTAGGTCAGTGCTTTAATTTGTTGCTTATTCATTCGGGGCCTTGGTTATATCTATCTATAAACTGATGGTGGTAACTGTTACTTTTACTTTACTCTAGTCATCATAAATTAGTTTATCTGTAAAATCCATTTAAAAATTTAATGATGTGCTATCACATAAATATAATGGGATATTAACAAAGCTAACATAAAAGGAAACTTTTTTGAGGCTTCTTTTTCAGTTTCATTTTATCTCAGTTTGAGTGTTTTTAGACCCTTGCAGTGTGGCACTGCTCTAAGAGTTTTTAATATTGTGTAATACTAGATTTTTTTTCCTACTATCAAACACCTTTTCAGAAGTATACTGAGAGGCAACGAGTTTTGTGATTATCATCACTAACTGAGGGAGAAAAATGTGAAAACAAAAGAAAAA